TAGGAAAGGTGTGCACCAGGGCTGTAGCATAGTGGTTATGAGTTGGGCTACTATCCTCAAGGTCAGCAGTTCAAAACTACCAACTGTTCCATGGGACAAAGATGAGGCTCTCTGTTCCCGTAAAGATTTACAGTCTTGGAGACCCTGTACAGGGTTGCTAAGAGTCGAAACCGACTCCATGGCACACCACCACCACCATTCAACCTGTAAACTGAGCAAATAATCTCAGAAGCTGGACTATATGAAGAAAAACATGGCATCAGGATTGGAGGAAGACTCATTAACACCTTGCAATATGCAGATGATAACCTTGCTTGCTGAAAGCAGAGAGGACTTAAAATACTTACTGATGAAAATCAAAGACCACAGCCTTTGGTATGGGTTGTTCCTCAATGTAAAGAAAACAAAAATTCTCACCACTGGACCAATAAACATCATGATCAGTGGAGAAAAGACTGAAGTTGTCAAAGACTTCATTTTTCTCAGATCAACCATCAACACTTATGGAAGCAGCAGCCAACAAATTGAACGACGTATCTGACGTATTGCATTAGGCAAATCTGCTGCGGCACAAGACCTCTTTAAAGTGTTAATAACAAAGATGTCAGTTTGAGGACTAAGGTGCACCTGACCCAAGTCATGGTATTTTTAATAACCTCACATGCATGCAAAAGTTGGACAGTGAATCTATGCATTTGAGTTACAGTGTTGGAGAAGAATATTAAAATTGGAGAAGAATATTAAAAGTACCATGGACTACCAAAAGAACAAACAGATCTGTGTTGGAAGAAGTATAGTCAGTGCTCCTTGGAGGCCAGGATGGCCAGACTTCATCTCTCATGCTTCATCTCTCATGTGTCAGGAGGGACCAATCATACAAAGCAGCAGGCAAGAAATCAAACGACCCATTAAATCAAACAAATCTGTTGTACAAGACCTCTGAAAAATGTTAAAGAGCAAAATGACTTTGAGGACCAAAGTGTGCCTGCATGAAGTCATGGGATTTTTAATGACCTCGGGCTGCATATAAATGTGGACAATGACTAGGATGGCAAGAGAAGAACAGATGCATTTGAATTACGGAGTTGACCAAAGAATGCTGAAGTGCCACGGACTGCCAGAAGAACAAACAAATGCTTCTTAGACGCGAGGATGGTGAGACTCTGTCTTGAGTACTTTGGACGTGTTATCAGGAAGGACTTGTCCCTGGAAAAGGACATCATGCTTGGTAGAGGGTCGGCAAAAGAGAGGAAGACCTCCAATGAGAAGGGCTGGCACAATGGCTGCAACAATGGGCTTAAACACGACACTTGTGAGGATGAGCCAGGAAACGGTAGTGCTGAGCACGAGGGCTTGCCATGAGTGACAGCCTACTCAACGGCACCTAACAACAACAGTTTGAGGAATATCTGCTGGCCCAGCGGCAACTCAAACTTCTCATCAGTCCCAGTCTGTTGGTCCATGCAGCCCCTCCTGGGGGCACCAGAGCCATACCTGGCATAGGTGGGGGTGACAACAAAGATAGTAGGCAGAGCTTCGGGTTCAGGGGGCTGGGCAGGGGCAGGAGGTGGGCGTCGGAGATCAGCTTGCAGCTGGGAAATCTTCAGATCCTTCTGTCGAAGCTGCTCAGCCGCTGCCCGCAGTGGAGGGATACAGTCACATGGCTGGCCTGGTCCCAGAAGGTAAGAGATGGATGAGTTGGAACAGACACAGGGCACTTAACAACAACAATCCTTCTTATTTAACTCCTAGTCAAGGAATCCCCTTACAACTCCAACAAGCTTTTCTAAACACCTGGTGGTGAGGTATTGGTCACCTCCATTAACTCTCCTTGGTGACTGGCCTGTGGGCTAGGCCTTGGGCTGCTAACCGCAAGGTCAGCAGTTCAAACCCACCATGGAAAAAAGAGGAGGCAGTACGTACTCATAAGAACCCACAGTCTCAGGAACTCTACAGCGTCATTTTGAGTCAGGATTTGACTCCATGGCAGTGAGTTGGGTTTGGGTTTTTTGGGGAGAGGGGTGCACAAGGTCAATGAGCTCAGCTGCTAATTGAAAAGTTGGAGGCTTGAGGCCACCAAGAGGTGTTGAAGAAGAAAAGTGGGGGCACTCCACTTCTGAAAACTCCATGGAACACAATTCTACTCTGACACATTTGGAATCCAAGGGAGGATAGCAACTGGTTTTCTGGCTTGGTCTTCATCTTTAATAAATCCCATCTGTTGCTAATTTCATTTGGTTATCAAACTAATTATCTGCCTTCATCCTTTCTGCATGTTGGCCCTAATTTTGCCTTCTGAGACTATAAAGCGCAAGTTCATGTCCTTAAATAGGGGGTCTTTCAATAACTGATAGGCCCTGTAGCTACATCCCTGCATAAAAGGCAGAGAGGATTCAATCTGTTCTTTTGTCTGTAGAGACCAAAGATGTCATTAAATTCATTCATTCCATCATTGTTCTTGTTAAGTAGGCTGGAGTCATGACCCGGTATAGGGTTAATGAGGAGCGGTTGGTGAATCTTAACTGCCGACCTAGCGGTTCAAAACAACTTGCGGTCCAAAGCCTATCCTACAGCGCCACACCAGGACTCCATCATTAGATATGTAGTTATTGAATAAACCCACAAGAGAGATATTGCCTTAGGCGATAAGGCTACAGGAGGAAACAAAACAGGTATAGTCTCTGCCCTCAAGGAGCTTTCCGTTTAGCCCAGGAGGCACACAAGGAGCAAAGAAACAAATTAACCAAATCATTACAAATAGCATAATGGAGAGAATAAAAGAGGGCTGGGAAGAAGGGTTACTTTGGTTACGGTGGTCTGCGAAAGCCTCTCGGAAGAGGTGACATTTAAGGGGAGACACTGAAGGATGATGAGCCGGGAGAAAGTGCTGCAGCAGAGGGAGCAATGAGCATGGGGTTCGAGAAAGCGTCGGGGTAGCGGAGTGCAGGAGAAAGGAGGAAAGTGGGGCTGTGGGGGAGATGCGCATGGTCATGCGGGGCCTGGCCGGCCGTCATCCGCGGTGCGGCAGGGGCGTGGAGGGGCGTGCGGAGGGCCCAGCGGGCTGGCTGCGACTGCGCAGGGGGCTCGTCCCCAGGGCGGGCCGGCCACCGTCCCCCGCCCAGCCCCGCTCACCGAGCTGCACCAACGCGTAGAGAAGGCCAGCAATGGACACGAGGAAGTAAGCGAGGAACACGTTCTTCAGCTTCAGCTTCATGGCCGCGCCGCGGGCGGCACCCGGGCCCGCGGAGTGCGGAGCGCTGGAGCCGCGGGGCCTCAGCCCGCCCCCCGCAGGCCCCGCCCCTGCCGCGGGCCCGCCCCACCCCGCCTCCCTCGCGCTCCTGTGGGCTGGCGGACTCCTGGGAGCTGGGGCTTGCGGCGCCCGCCGGGCCCACTTCCGGTCAGTCGGCTTTGCCCCCACCCCCAGGTTAATTTCCGGCCCCACCGCCTAGTTCCGGATACTACGGGATGGATGACGCCATCTCCGGCGTGGCAAGACGTGTGGCCAGCGGTTAGAAGCCAGGTTGGAGCACGTGGCACGGACTTCTAGAGTTCCAGGAACGTGGCGTTGCCAGGGAAATTCAGCCCGTGTATACTCGCTCATTCATCCCGAGCTTTCAGTAAGATGCTAGCAAATACTTCCGACAGGAATTAACTAAATCTAGTACCTCTGATAGCGTAGTGGTTAAGAGTTGGGCTGTTAACATCAAAGTACGCAGTTCGAAACTAACAGCCGGTCTGCGGGAGAAAGAGGCTTTCTGCTCCCGTAATAATTTACAGCCTCGGAAACCCTATGTTGGATCCCTACATAGGATCCGACTCCACAGCATACTTATAATCTGTAGGCAGTGGCCCTGCCCCCCATTTTATAAATAAGACCCAGAAAATTTTATCAATTGTTTTAAGGCAGCTTTCTTCTGTGACCCTTCTAGTTATCGGATTCCAGCGCACTATTTCACCAGGCAGAAAAGGCGGTGCCAACCAAAATGGTTACTTCCCAGGAGATTGACTGCAAATTCCTGAGCTGGGGAACTGCTGACAAACCCCATTTCCTCACAAGCATTGTTAAGTGCTGTTTTGGAGCAGCAACTGGTGGGTTTGAACTGCGTAGTTCAGTCCAATGCTGATCCACAGTGCCACACCATAAGTCCCCTCACGAGCATAAGCCATCCTATTCTTAACCCACAAAAAAATACACCAAAAAGCCTATTTCTTGCTAAATAATCTCCTGTATTGTTAAGTGCCGTGGAGTTGGTTCCGATCAGTATCCACCCTGTATAGGGCTTCTGAAGAGCAGCTGGTGAGGCTTGAACCCTCGGCCTTGCAGCTCAAGCTGACTGCAGTCCAGTGCATTAACCAACACCAGGACAGTCTGAAAAATGGAGTAAACTATTTTGTCACTAAGAGAATTGGAACTATTTTTAAAGTGCTGTTAGGCAAAGAAAAATACAGCTTTTTAGTGTAAGAACACTCCTCTGGGAAGGTTCAAACTCCAAGGCCAGTGGATTACTTCTATCTGATCACCGTGTCTACTAAAAGAAGCCTTGGTTACACCACGGTTAAGCACCGAGTTGCTAAGTGGAAGGCTGGTACTCTCCAAATGTTTTGCAGAACGGTATCTAGAGATCTGCTCCTGTAAAGTATGTCTTTTTGGGTGTCTCGGAGCTGATTCCAACTCATAGCGACTTCTGTGAACAAGTTTTCTAGGCTGTAATATTTACGGGTGGAGCCCTGGTGGTGTGCTGTAGGATAAGCAAGCATTGGATCACAAAGCTGAACAAAAAAAATCAGCGACTCAAACTCATCAGCCATCCCTCAGAAACCCTATACAGGGTCGCTATGAATCAAAACCAGCTTGATGGCACTTAACAGCAATCTTCACAGGATAAGCCCTGAACTGCTAGCTGCAAGGTCGGCAGTTCAAAGCCATCAGCCACTCTCGGAAACCTGGTCAGTGTCACTGAGTTGGAATGGACTCCACAGTGCTTACAATGTCCAGGTCATTCTCCGACAAAACAGCCTAAGAGAGTTTCAATGTCCACCTTCCAGTTATTCCCGGAGTCCTTAAGCACAGCACCACCAGGGTCTAGGAAACTCTGTGGGGGCCATTCCACTCGTGATCTGACGGCATACAACAAAAACGTGGTGACCATGCTGGGCTTCTCTATGAAAACATGGGCACCCAGCGAGCTCCCTTTTGGGACTCAGCGAGATTTACACTAAAGCCAGATGCCCCTGGGCTTCGAGGACCTGTGGCCCAGGTCAGAACTGAATCCAGACACCTGACAGTATATGGTTTAGCTCTTTATTTCTCCTTTTATCAAAACTTGCCGTAGCTGGGGGCCAAGAGGAAGTAAAAAATTACCACAAATATTCCCCCACCCCCATTCCCAGTTAGTCACCCCACTCCACCCCTACCCAAGGTTTTGGATTCAAAGCTGGGCACACATGATCATCTCTCCCCACCCTCAGCCTTCTCCCAGCAATAAATACAGGTGACCGTGATTCAATGAAACCACAACTGATTTCTCCATCTTGAATGCCCCCCAAGGGGACAAAAAAGGGACAAAAGAAGTTTAATGTCCATCCCCTCTTAAGGAAGAATGGAAACTTCTTTCTCCCCAGGGACAGGGGAAGTAGAGCCCCTGTCAGAATTACAGCAGCTCTAGAAGGTACCAGGACAGGAAGGGCAGGACCAGAGGGAAGAGGATGCTCCCCAGCAGCCTCACTCCTTCATCCATTCACCCCTCACCAGGGAAGGGTGGTCCCAGTGTATCAGAGGGGCAAAAGACGGGGAGGGCTGGGAAGGAAAGGCCAGAAGGAAAAAACAAACGGAGGGAGAGCACTTTGGTGGGGAGGAAAGGAGCCCTGAACTTACTGCCCTCATCTTCCAAGAAACAGCCTCCACACCCAAGAGGCGTGAGAAGACAGGATCTGGGGAAGGACATCCAGCCCCCGACAACACACACACACATACACACACACACACACAGAAGGAGCAAAGGAGGGGAAGCAAGGGCCCTGTGGTCCCCAGGTCTTCACAGATGATGTGCTCCACTTAGAGCAACTGGATGCTGGAGGATGAAGGGAAAGGCTTGGTGTCAATGAAGTGGGAGAGGTCAGGAGATCACACAAGGAATTCGGGACCCAGGGGCAGCCCTCTCCTTCTGTCTGAGTCTTGGGGTAAGAAAGGTAAAGCCTGGGGAGGCTCCAACTCCAAGGCAGAAAGAGTAACCACCACAGCACACCCTCCCCAATCTGGAACAGCCCCGGGGTTATCGCAGGTGGATGCTCCAGTCAGATGAGACATTGACCCCAGGCTTGCGTAAGGTCAGCACAGAGGTCTCAGGGTCGTGCTGGAAGGACAAGCGGCTTTCAGGAGATCCTGGGGAAAAACGTAAGAGGCCACTGTCAGAGCAATCGCGTGGCTGGTCAGCTGCCTGGTAAGCCAGCTTGTTTCTCACTAGCAAGTCCATCCCCAACCCCCCATGTCCCCACATTCTTTACCTTTAGTCTGAAGGATCACAGCTGCTGGCTTTCCGGCCCCTATTATCACCACCCGCTCAATCCAGACTGGTGTCTCAAAGTGGCCTTTGGGATCTGCTGAGCTGGAGGGAGGGGGAGGAGCCATCAGAGCCGCAAAAAGAAGAGGTGGAAGCGAGGTCAGGATGTCCGGAAGAGCCCGGGGAACTGGCCTCAGGGAGAACAGGCACCTCAGTACCTGGAGATGAGGGTGTTGCCTGAGAAGGAGAACCGCCGCAGCAAGAACGCATGGCGTGTCTGGTAGTTGAACGTGTGTCCATCATCCAGGAAGAGCTCTCCTTGTGCTGTGCCCTGAGCAGAAAGCAGGACAGATGAGCCCCGTAGCCAAGGGAAGCCAGAGCTACAGCTCAGAGGACCGAGTCCAGGGGGCAGGCTCCCTGCCTGGGAACTCACTTGGGGACTGAGAGCAACAAAGAGCGTGATGGGGTCTTCCTTCATGCAGTCTGAGGAACGCCGCACTCGCATCCACCGAGGCACGATTGTCCCTCCACGCTGGAACACGGGGATCTAGAGCAAGAGCAGCACTGGCATGAAACCACTCCTCTGGCCCCCCTCAGGCCCCTCTGGGTCTTTTGCTTTCACCCATCTGTGCCCACGTTAAACAGGACCCCTGAGGATACACTCTCCCCTGTCTGGAAGCTGATGGTGCTGGCCAAGAGGGCCAGCCACACTCACGCTGCTTAGCGTTACAGGCAGATACAAAGTCTGGGGGCCATGATGCTTCTGGTAGCTCTGCGTGTCATACCATACCTGTGGGCCAAAGAGAGATGAAACTGGCTTACTCAGTGCCCAGGGGCCCCCACTCCACCTTTCCTCACCCCACCCTTTCTGAACTTACCTCCCCCTGGCCAGGCAGATAGATTTGTACACCATGCGCCCCAGCATCAGATACAGGGTGAACCAGCAAGGCATCGCCTAAAACATCCCAAGGCAGAATCAACCCTGAATAGAGGGGCTTCATTCCCACCAGCATGCCTGCCTTCCACCTCCTTCCCTGGGCATCCAGACGTATCCTCACAGATGCTTACTTCTTCTAGCCCTATCCCAACCCCGAGCAACTGCCCACCCCTTTCTCACCAAGCAGGAACTGATCGTCTATACTGAAGGTGGTCACATCCTGAGGATACTGCACCCACAGGGGTCTAGGATGGAAGGAGGACAAGAAGGGAAGATTGACTGTTTGGGCCTAAGCCAAAGCAAGAATGGGCGGTCAGAATGGCACCGGAGCGCGCAGCCAGACTGCAGGGCTCAGCTCCACAGTGAACCCGTCGCTCCATCACCAAGCTGCCTAAGCTGCATTTCCACACTGCATTCATTCCCTGCTCTGCAACACACTCCCACACCACGACTGAAGGGGACCATTCATTTTACTCTCCAACTTCGAATCCGACCCTTCCCTCTCATTCCTGACCTCTGAGACACTGGCTTTTTTCTATTCCTGGAGCACAATAAACTCATTTCCACCTCAGGATTTTGGCACTTGCTATCTCTTCTGCTTAAACAGGACTTGTGGCACTGCAGGATAAGCACTGAACTGCTAACTGCAAGGATGATAGTTCAAAGCCACCATCCACGCTACAGGAGAACATGGAGGCTTTCTGCTTCCTCAAGATTTACAATCTTGAACAGGGGTGTTATGAGTTAGAACCAACTTTATGTCCCACTGCCTAGTTTTACTCAAAGAGTTTGTCACT